TTGTGCAAATATGTCTGCACACCAGAGGAAATAGAATCAGCTCCCTGGAAATTTAAGGGGGGGCCACAGACACACACACACACAAACACACAGATATAAACACCCCATTACAGGTCTCTGTTGTTGCTCTATCATTACATAAATCACAATAACAACATTGTAGGTTAGCAATAGTATTAGGGCCATAGATAGCACAGTATCCAATCTTTTCTGAAGCCATCTCTACCACTATCCCTAAACCATCAATATTTCGCTATAGACACCATGGTTGAAGCCTTAACTTATACAATGTATATAGCACAGCTCATTTGGTTGTTTTGCAAAAGATTTGCCATGCTTCTAGCTAAAATTGCCTTGCATACAAAAATCTGAGCACACACTCAGTCTCTGAGATAACCTTTTTTAACTTTTCATATCAGCACAGCAGTGTTTCAGTGGTTCCTCAAATCCAACACAATCACTGAAGGATAAGAACAAGAGCTGAAAGAAAGAGTGGATTACAAAGAGAAATTTAAATAGTAGGGTTCTGGCCATATTAGAAGTATTTGTGTTGATGCAGATGTCTAAAAATTATTTTTTTTACTTTCAAGTGGTAAACACCATCACTGACTTTTTTTCCCAGTCTGTAGAATTTTTGAGATAAGCTGATTCCAAAGTATATGTTGTCCCTGGTTCTAGACTGCCAGTGAACACAATTTTTGGGTGGATTGTGAGGCCTGTTTACTTTTAGACTTTTAAAACTTAAATTGCAAACTTATGGATGACTTCCCTATCCCTCTCCTTTATTGCAGAAGAAAAAATAAACAACAAAGGTTGATGATTTCTTTAGAGCAAACACCAAAACACTTGAGAAAATAGAAGTTTTATTTCAGACTTCTCACCAGGACCAAGCTTAGAATCTGCAAAACATTCAGTCTTGATGTGCTGAGGAGGAGGAAAGGACAGCTGTGTGTCAGCATCAATCTTCTCTGTGAAAACACAAACCCAGTTCTGTGCCCTTTGATTTGGATGGTGATAAACAGTAGAGTGACTCAAGACAGCACTTTTTTCCATAACAGCTTAAAAAAATAAAATTAGCAGCAGAAAATAGTTTCAACTTGTAAGAAAACTAACACCTCAGCAGACACAAGCATTCGCTAAATGTAACACTGCCCTTTCTGTTCCTTCAGTTTCCATGGAAGTATTTCCAGTTGTATTTGGGTTTCTGCTCACACAAACATCCTCCCTTTGCACAAGTCAGATTCTAGTCGCAAGCATTATCCTGGGGAGAATAAACTTCAGGGTAGGCTTGCTTTTGATCTTATGAATGCTAATATAAGAGAATAATCAAATGCAGTGACGTAGCTTCACTGCAAAACAAGAGAAAGATGTCCAGTCAGACTCTTGCTACTAAGATCTGTGGCTCATGCCACTAATTTGAAAAATTAACAGCTAGCCAGGTACTCAGGAATATGGCTAAAGTTACAAGCAAAGAAACAAGGTATTTAAACTATTTTTTACAGAATCTAAACAAATATAATAATTTTTTATTAATAATATATTTCTGTACAATACATTTGCCATTGATAAGTCAAATTGGAGGAATTCCATTGAAACAGACTGAAAAACAATGCTAAGATAATTACTTTTGTCCTTTTCAGCTCTGGAGTTGGAATACCAACACATGTGACCTCGCAGCAGGAGCAGATTACTATCCAACAGCAAATAGCTTCATCCACTTGCAGCAAACACCTTCCATGAAGCACATAGGAAACAGGAACTCACAGCATTGACCCAGCATTAGGGGGTCTTAAAGCTACACTTGGTGTCAGGGCAGAACAAGGAACTACTCTTCACAGTGTTACCCTGTGACCCCCCAGCTTCCAGAGCATCCCTACATGACAATGAATATGAGCCAGGGGTACTGTCCTGATCTAAGCACCACTAATAAATACATCTTCCTTCAGAAAAATCTGCTTCATGATTATTCTTGAGAATGCAGGCTGGAACAATCTCTGAAAAGGAAGTGCATCAAAGCTATTGGTAGTGTAAAAACCACCTTGAATTTTATCTGGAAATTTCATCATTCAAGGATCATGAAGCATTCCTGTACACTAATCCTACACTGCAATACCCGTGTAAAGTATAAGGCATGATTATGTCCATTGTACAGGATGAAACCAGACCCACAGAAGATAAAGGCAACATTCTCAAAAATGGCTATTTATTTTGGAAATCACGGGCATTAGGAGTATTCTACCTGCAAATCTCTCCCTAAAGTACATGCTGCTTTGATACCTTTTGTTCCGATAGCAGTTTCAAAAGTTCACAGCACTTCCAGGAAAAAAGTAAGAGATTTTTCAGATGTTGAGACCTTCAAAATGAATGGACATTCTTTGAAGTGTTAACCTTATGACTGCACTAAGAACATGTGCTGAGCCACTGACAGAGTGGGAAATGAAATTTCTAGGTACTCACTGCTTAGGAAACCAAACAGTTGTGCTTTCCACTCTTGCCCCCTTTGGTAGGCATACGGATTTTATCTGTCATCTAAGCTGACCAACCCTGTAACCCAGCAGCTGACTTCCAGCCACCAGGCCAACTTTGAGGCCGCATTAGAAATTGGGTGCATAGTACCCTAATTATTTGAAAAGCAAAAAACACTGCTTCTGTCCATCATCTTTTGCCTCTTCAATTCCATTGAGCCTTGGGGCCTCAATGCTTCAAAGGCACAGTGATTTCTCCAGGGGCAGTAAACGCCACTCTATTAGGGTGAAGCTTTTGGTTAGTGATAAGGGAGGTTATCTAATGGGAAATCCCCTGTGCAGAACTACTTTCATTACCTGTGGTTCTGCTGGAGGTGAATGTTTACTGGAGAAGTGTCTGCCCTACTGGCATAAGCAGCAGATGGAAAACTCCTTTATAGGGGTGGGAGGAAAGTCAGCAGTGAATTTAGGTG